CCCCAAAACCCCAAAACCCCAAAACCCCAAAACCCCTAAAAGTTGCAGGTAAATAGAAAATATAATAATTAGGATTTCCTACATAAGAAAAGCTATGACTGACATCCAAAATATGTTTACTCTAAAAGAGAATAACGAAGGAGCTTCCAACTCAATCTTCGGTGACACTCAATCTGTCAATGAAGACTTCAGTGATACCAACCCAGACTCTCTTGATAAGGTAGCCTTATTCAATAAATATTATAGAAAATGACTGGAGAGAATGGGTTCCTCCAAAGACAGGTGAAAGACCAATCTGATATATCAGACATAGAAATAGATATAAGTAAGTCTATAATATTACCATAAGTTAATCTACATGTATACAGGTACACCTTAGAGTCGATCACCATACATCAGCTTTATCATTTAGCTTACACTATCCCATCTTAATTTCCTTGTTCAAATTCTCTTTGCTGGAAGCAGAATCAGCTTAACATTTTAGTTCACAAAAAGCCAAGAGTAAGAGACGAATCTCAGAAATCAATCAGGAGTAGCAACTCAAAAGCCATAAAGCGCCTGAAAGTAATCGAAAGAACTTCAAACTCAACAGAAGTCCTTGAAGAAAGCTCTAACAGCAAGCAAATGCTTGCCTCAGAGACATACCGAAAGATAAAGGAAGTGGAGTACAGGAAAGAAACCATCTACGATAAAAACGGGATGGAAATCACCTATGATTCAAATCCTTCTGAGTACAAGAAAGCAAGAAAAAGAATGCAGAACAGAGAAAGTGCCATGCGCTCGAGGTATAAGAAGAAGCATTATTTTACCGAATTAGAGGTTAAAGTAGAGGAGTTAGAAGAAGAAAACAAGAAATTGCAAACAGAAAATGCAACTCTCAAAGTTGAGAAGAGACTCCTTGCTGAACAACTTGATTATTTCAAAGCTCTGATTGGTAATATGAACGGTGGCCTTTCTGCGAAGTCAACACAAGAAAGATCTAGAGAGGTTTCCTCTGGAGATTTATCTTTTGATGAAGAAGGGGATGCATTTAATTATCCATTTGCACAGATTCAAGATGGAGAGCTTCCTCATCTAGGAAATTTTAAAAGGCCAGCCACACAGAACAAAAATAAACAAGATGAACTTGATGAAAGGCTTATTTTAACAAGAAGAGAAGATAGCTCTTCTGCAAACACAGCCGGCCTCTTCTTCATTGCTGTTATTATGTGTGTAATGTGACTCACATCTCTTACTCTCACCAGAGGAAACGATTCAGACCAAAACAAGAGGGAGTTTACAATGGATAACCCCGGAAGACATACTATGAACTTACAAAAGAAACATGAAGAAGCTGCCTCCCTCCTCAAAATAACAATGTGGTTGATCTTGTTCTTTTGTATGGGAATAGCTTACTTTACCAGAATCCCCTTAAGAGAGATGAAGAAAATAGGCCACTCTGCTCTCGTGAAATTTCACATCCTAAAGGATCCTTCAAAGAAAACAAAGTATAGTTAATCATCTAAATAACTCTTCATTCTTAGTCCTGTACTTAGGGGTTTTGGGGTTTTGGGGTTTTGGGGTTTTGGGGTTTTGGGG